AGAAAAGGTTAAATAAAAAAAATGTTGTTAAAAGCTTCCCTTAAATGTGATGTGCTACTCTACTCCATAGTCAGGGAGCTGTTTCAAGTAGTGAATATTCGTAGTGAGGTCATAGCTTTAATTTTAATAATTTGGGAACTGTTGTTATCTACTTAGTTAATAGGCATTTTCCCATAATACTTGGAACATATGTAGCATCAGTTGCCTCTCTACCTAAAATGCCTCTGTTTGAAACAATGGGCAGCAATAAAAGAGCCATTTTTCTCCTTGCCTAAAAAATAAAGGTACTAAAATTTAATTTTGTAGATCATTGTGTTAGTACACAGAAGATCATTTTTTTTGAAGTGATGTTTTGAACTGGTTTGCTGCTAGTCTGCTGGCACTTTCTGATCTTTGCAATCTTTATTAGCTGTTACTTAGTTTCTCAAAAATAATAGAGTGCAAATTAGTAGTTCTATTCTCAAGGTTTAACTTTATCACAATTAAAAACTTCTCTGTTGTATTTGTTGCTGTCATGCCTGTACCTATCATCTATAATTTAACATATAGGAAATTACCTATATTTTAGTAGATATTGATAGTCGTGATAGTGTACAATTGCCACATTTTAATAGCAGAGTGCAGAAAAGTGATGTAAGTTTTTTGAAGTCACATGAGTGGCAGAGGTGAGATTACATCTTGGATCCCGCATTTTAAAATATATGAAAGTATATTTATTATAAATAAATGAAATATGAAAATATTAAAGCATATGAATATATGCATATATTATTACAAAGATATATGTGAAAAATCATCCTTTTTTACTTTATTATAGAGTATAGAACAGACATTACTTTTCAGCACTGCAACTACAGGAAGGATGAGAACTACATCCCTCTAATTGCTTTCTGGAACAATGACTAGTCTAGTTCCTGGTTTATGAACACACATAGTTTTCTGGCAAGCTGACATGATATATTTTTGTCACCAAAGAAGTCTGTAGACTGCAGCACTCCTTTGGTGTAGTCATGGGAAAGTGCTGTGCTGGTGTTATGGCCCTTCCCGAATTCAGACAAGTCTGCGCCCGTGTTAACGGTGCACGGCCGTGCTTCTGTAAATACAGATTTAGCAGTTGAAGGGGTCATTGTGTTCAGTGACAGGTTTCATTACTTGTGAATTTCGTTCAGGCTCTTACCAGTTTTGGGGGGCAGCAGAAGCAGCAGAGAGTTCATCACCCCAAGCCCATCAGCACACTTCCTACGCCATCACTCCTTCCATGTCCAAATGTCGTTGTCTGAGCTGAGGCATTGTACTGGTGCCATCTGTGCCTGCTGTGGCCCCTGCCACAAGTGCTCTCCTTTCCTCCCCTTTGCTGTAGCTTGGGATCACAGCTTTGCTTCCTAAGCTATCTATTCTTTTTCATAATGTTATCAGCTTGGCAGAGTTTGGCTTGTCTGATTGTCATCCTGTCACTGTTGCCTAACTCAACGGCAGTACAGTTGCTGGACGGTGAAACTGTCACCCAACAACAACAGCTGTGCAAACAAACAAGTTAGCATTGATAGTCATCAATAGCTTTGTGCAAGTCGTGGCATTGAGATACACCAGAACTTGTGCAATCTGCTTTCTTTGTCCCACAGTATAACCAGACTGGCTGCTCTGCGCTGATGAGGGCGTGATTGTCATGCTGTGGTGTGCCTTCACCTCCTCTTTTTCCTTTGCTTTTCCTTCCTCTTTGTGGGCTGTCTGGCTGCTCCCGGGCACATCTGCCACGCGTCCCATCTGCTCTCCATGAGAGGCGCGCACAGTTCTGACAAGCAGTATTCAAGTAGTACACTGTTCTTCTGGAGATGACAGAAAACAATAATTTGTATTGTTAATGGCATGTGACTAATGCTTCCTGCTTCTAAAATGCTAAGCTAAGCAAAGCAAATAGCGAGGAACATTGGCCTGCGAACTTGCCGGTGAGTTGTTGTTTCAAAATCCTATATGCACCAGTGCATTTTTCCCACTCCACTTACCTCCAGTAATGATGCTCTTACCTTGTCTTACAGCTTGTGACTTTTTCAAGACATGTTGTGTTTTCCTTAAAAAAAATGAAACATCTTTTTCAGAAGTTGTGTTCTTTCCTTCCTGGCGTCAGTGGCAAGATTCTTTACATTAAGAGGCACAGGTGTATAACAACATTGTTATTTGCTATTCTTTATGTCTTTCAAGGAAAAAATATTAGCAGACTGTCAAGAAAAAAATAATTCTAAAGTCAGAATGAATTTAAGGGCACTCTTGCCTCTTATGCATGTCTATTGGACTGCTTATGGTGGTGCAAGTAACTCTTCAGAACATCTTTCTGTGACATGTAATCACTTCCAGCAGGATCTTGCCTTGTGACAGCTCCCCTATCAAATTGAACAAAGACAAATGGAGCTCTCTGTGGGTGAAGGAAGAAGATGATAGACAGCATAGGCATCTATAGGCAGTGAAACTGTTTTGTTTGTGGAATCACCTCTAGCTTTGGGTCAAAGATTTGTGGAGATACGTGATCAAAAGTACAGTTACTAATTGGTATGTATTCACCTTTGCCAGTCATATTAACTGTCATGTAGCAATTCCATGTTTACCACACTTACTGTGTTGAAGCTGACACAGCTGTCTTGCGTTACTGCTGCAGGGATTTACAACATGAAGCTGTGATGAGCAAGAAGAACTTCATCTGTTAGCATGTTTGCCTGCAATTTGGAATTCACTGTGAGCACGCGCTAGGCATCCAAAGTGTGACCAAGGTGGACAGGATTTTACAGGGCTGGCTAAAAGAACTGTGCATGCGTATAGGGAGAGAAGTGATTCGTTTTGGCAGCGTTTGTTTCATAGCCTTGTAAGTCTTTTCCTTTAGTAACTCCCTAATTACTCAAAATGTCACAGAGAGAAAAATAAGGGCTGGAAGCCTAAGCCAAAGGAAGGAGCGAGGCTAGGGAGACTTTTAGTGAGGAGAAAACATTGAACAGGTTTTGGTCAGCAAACGAGGCTGGCTCGAGGTCCATGTTTCAGTTCTGTGCTTGCTGGAAACTGCTTTGTCTGTTACCCACGTTATCTGCTTGTGAAAGCTGTTATTCCATGGTGGCTGCACTGTGCCATGTTCAAACAGCTGACCTCCATGGAAGAAGTCAAGGATGGACTTGTGTTTTTGTCTTACATAACTTTTACAAGAGTGTATCTATTTTTTCTTTTCTTTTGTTTCTTTTTTGTCCTGAGAGCATTGTAAGGCAGTATGTTTTATCATCACACCACAAATAAGCATCATAAAGCTGGCAATGCCTACAGTGAGTTTCAGGAGGAAAAAATGGATTGGGGCTACTTGAGAGAATATCATCTGCTATGCTGCAAAACATTGTCCATGGGATCTGTAAAATAAAGTATATAATCACAGTTGATGTGATTATATAATCACAAGTTGGTATGTCAGCGCTTGAAAAGTTGTGTCAAGGAATTTAGGAAACAGACCAGGGAGGAGGGGATGATTACAGCAGTTTATCACCTTCGGAAAGTGTTGTTAGACTCATAACAGTGCGTAACAGATAGGTGAGCTATTCCTGCAAGATCTACCAGGGGTTACTGAGTTCAAGGCACCCTCTAAAGGGTTACAAATGTAGTTACAGTTGAGCAGTGTACTGTATCACCGTCCGGCACTTTATACTGTGTATGCTCGTTTTTATTTTAAACTGATCCCTGGCGGTTTAACTGGATTGGGATTCCTGCCCCCCCAGCCTTTTTAATGCGCGGTGTCAGTAGGTTCCAGCAGCACTGCGTGGACGCTCCCATGTGAAAACAGGATGATCAGGTGGGATAGATAATTTAAGGATGAAGCCTTTGTGTGTATCCCTGGGGCAATTTTCTGTGATTTCCTTTAATATTCAGTTCTGAAGGCTACTAATCAAGTCGACGTTTCAGAAAAGTACTCCAGCAATAATCAACCTTTTCTCTGCAAAACGCATCCATGGTTGGAAGAGCTTATATACAGATCTTCTCTGTAACCCAAGAACACTTTTGTGAGAGAGGAGGAATTATAGTCAAGTTATGCAAATGATATTCATATATGACTTTTGCAAGTATTTTGTTAAAATATCTGGTGAATTCTTAGCTTTTTTTTTTCCTTCATGTTTGAACCCGGCTCTTACTACATGAATTCTGCAAACTGGAGCAGTGAAAGTTTTATTACAGGTGGCCCATAAACAGAGTACTCCTGCAGCGGGTTGTGAATAAAGATGGCAATTGTGTAATGAAGCAGTTTGTCACTGACTGTTAAAAGGCCAGAAGTTAAATGAATGGCTGACAATGTAAGCATAACTACCGGACATGTTACTTAGCAAATTCTTGTAGTTGATCAGGTCCACATTTGCCTTACGTAAAGGGAACTGCTCTCATCTCTCATAAGTGTCACTCATTTCTGATGTGCAAAGGAGGATCTGGTCCTTGAAACAGAACAGATCTGCTAGTGTAGATCTAATATTAAGAAATAATAAAACCGGAGGAAATGAAGTGATACTAAAGGAAAGCAGAAAACCTAAAGTTGGCAAAATTTTTCCCTGCATTGTTCCTTGTTACCCTTTTTGGTTTGTTTACTTCGTGAGACCATGAGCTGCCATGCGCTGTAGCCTTGCATAGGTAAGAGGGAGCCACTTTCCGTCCTTCCATGGGGCTTGCTGAAGTGCTGCTGTAGAGAGACGAGTAGGTGCAGACTGAGAGGAGCTCGTGTTGTCCTGCTCATTTCCAGGGAATAGAGTTTCACAGGGAATCTTACTATTTGTGCTGACTCGCTCATGGAGGTTTTTCACGGACTGAGAGGTTTTGTCTCAGCCCTTGAATTCTGGGCAGTTGTCTCCAGAAATACTGTGTGTGAGGTTTGCTCATTGCAATCTTACTACTTGTGCTAATCTGGTGTTTTTTTGGTTTTTGTTTTTCTCTCTCCCTCTTTATTTAGATGAGAGATCCTTGGAGCAGCAAAATTTTTCCTTTTTTTCAATGGACTCAAAGGCGCACCAAAGCACATCAGGCAGCAGAACACAAATGGCCTTAGCAAAAAGTACTTTGGAGTCCGAAGAAAATAATTTCCTTCAAACGGTTTTATCATCAGTTACCGCTCCCTTTGATGTGACTTTATTTAACCAAGAAGGAATGGTCAGGATTTCAGAAGGGAGAAGTACACCATTGGTAGATGTCTCTGTAACAAGCAGTGAGGCATTCTTAAGCGACAATGAATTTATTAGCTCATTTCCAAAGGCACAGTGGACTCCTCCACTGAAGTCTTTTGCCGTTTTAACAGATCATCACTCAGTTAATACAGTAGAGCCACCAAGAGAAACGTTAGAAACTGTGTTGTTAACACCTTCGTTATATGTCCTTTTTTCACCGTATGATATCTCAAAAACAGCACAGCAAAAGACTCCGTTGAGCGCTGTCCCTGAACTCAGTAACACTCTTAAAGAATTGAAGCCTTTTGTACCAGATAGTGAAATGCTAACTGCAAGCAGAGACTTGCCGTTGTACCCTCCAAATACAGCTATTTATTTCACTTCCATTCCTTCAGACACAGGAGTTGCAGTGAGGGAAAACATAAATGCAAGTTTAACAGCTCTGCCTTTTGGGGATGCCTCAGAAGGGTCACCTCTTCATCTCAAGCTGCTGGATAAAAATAGCTGTGTGACCCCAGATGCCACAGCACAGAGTGCAGACCCGTATGGTGATATTTACGCCTATGTGAGTAGCAGGGCAGCAGAAACTCTGAGTCTAAGGACCTACCCCACTCCAAGCATTCCCTGGGCCATGCCAGCCTCAGCAGCCAGTGCTGAGCCTGCTTTGTTTCCTATTAGTCTTCCACATGCGTCTTTCCTGCTTCACTCAGCTGCCATTTCCACAGACTCTAATACGGTTCTTAACGCCAGCCTGTTTACACATGAATTCTCCAGTGCAGCACCAAATTTGCCTGTCAGTTCAGAAATACCAAGTCAATCAGAGCTTGTCAGTGAGCTCATGAGTCCAGTGCCTTTCACGAGATCATACAGTTCTTGTCTGTATTGTGACTCAGTTTCACTTCTGCCAGAAGCAGGCTTTTCTCCAGAACATGATGTGGGCTCAGGCGATTATGTTGAAACTTTGTCCATCAAAGCCTCTGAAGTACAAGGCATAACTCCATTTATAACTATAATTACTGACGGGTATGAATTAGAGGAGCCTACACCTGAGATTTTTGATACTGCTTTTCCGTCAAGACCAGTTGTTTCATTTTCTTCAAGATTCGCAGAAATGCCCCATTCAAGTGTGTTTTTATTAAGCACTATGGACACTGTCCTTAACAGCAGAACACGTATAACAATTTCTCCTTCTTACCATCAGCTCCCTGGAGGAACGTCACTGAGCATGTCTGTTGCCCAGTTTTCCCTCCCTGTTCTGGAAACGGTTTTGTTGACGCCAAGCACTCATGTAGAACTTCCTGATGCCACCACTGTTCTGTTTGACTCTACCTTCATCCCGAGCGAGCCGGTAGCATCGTTTGCAGTCAGTCATACGACTTTGCTGGAGTTGCCAGAATTAATGCCATCAGAATCTGTGGTTTTGCTTGACAAAACATCTACAAGGGAAGAACCGTCTTCAAATATTTCAGATTTTCCATCCAATCTTTTATCAACACCATTTCTTATTGAACCGAGCTACTTGTCTTTATCATCGGCCATGCTAAATTCTTACTCTGTCATGCGAAGTGATTTATCAACACTCTTACCTCAGACCTTGTTGACTGGGACATCAGTACTTTCTGAGGATGTTTCCAGCTGGGATTTAGCTACCACTGTCAGGTCTGCTACTGACGCCGAGGTTTCTCAGTTCCCTCTTGGCCAAACATCATACTTTTATTCAAATGCATCCTCTGTTCCAGGTGCACATGTTCCTGAAATAACGCTGTCATCAGATTTTCACTCCGAGTTGTCTGTGTTTCTGGAAGCACCCTCAGTATTGCCAGCAGGCTCTGAAGTTGTGTTTACCTCAGCTGTTACAGGAGCTACCTCTCAGTTGGAGCCTTCATTCTCCGCCTCTCACTCCGTGGTTCCTACCCTGGTGCTGCCTGCTTCCGACACCCAGTCTGTTACCAGCAGCATCTTGCTCAATGAAACAAATCTGATCTCTTTGTTTACTACCTTTCTGGCAACTCCTGTCTTAAATGTATCTTCATCTCTGCTCTCAACTGCTCCGGCTTCTGATGAGGATATTGGTGCTACAGTTAACCCCACGCTGCTTTTAACGTCTCGCAGCGAGGGCAGTGCCCACACAGCCTTTCCTCCCGCAGACCCTGACAGCCTGACGTCACGTGCCGACACCAGCCGCGTGATGCCCTTTCCTACAGCATCTCTTTCTGTGACCACATCATTTGCTCCCACGCAATTTCCTCCGACTTCTAGCCCTCCCACTGGATATGAAGTTCCAGCAGGAAGCAGTGTAACTGCTGGTACTGAGGCATCGGCTGCTCCCACCACTGTCCTCACCACCACCGCCACCAGTGCCACGGGCAGCCGCGGCACGACTGTTGCAGGCAGTCTGGGGACGTTCTCCTCCACCCCTCTGGTGACCACTACTCCACCTGAACCTCTGGTCGTAACCTCTGCCGTGACTACTACCAGGCAACCCTACGTCTGCGACATCACGGTTCCCGATGCTTACTTAGTCACTGCGGGTAAGATATTCCTAACATTTTTATTTTGTTTTTCAGAAGCCACTGTAATGTGAGCCCCTAGCTAAATTGCAGGCGTTGAATTAGCAAAGTGAGCCTTTCAAAGAAATATGGTGTGTAGTTTAGACAAACGGCTGTAAAAGCATTGATTTATCATTTACTCTTGAAAATAATAGAATTCACTTGAACAAAGTCCGTTGTGGTAGTGAGTTACATATACATTACACTGCACAGAGAATGAAATTGTCTTCTAAAATTGCTGATGTGTATATGCAAGTATACCGAATTAGAGGTTGCTTTATCATTTAATGGGTTGTAAATGAATGTTACTGTCATGGTACTGTTCTGCCAAACTATTAAATGTTCTGACTGAGTAAGTTTCTCCTTTCAGTTGTTGCTGCTGTTTGTAAAAAAAACCTGCATGTGAGGTAATGTTGCAATATGAAAGAGGAGAGTTGGCTTAAAAAATGTTTGTGTTTCGTTACCTTTTTTTGTAATTTTACCGTACTAGCTTATGTTTATATTTTCCCTCCTCCCATACTTACTTCAATTGGATTTGGTGTGTTTGTAACCAGAAAAAGTGACGTTAGTGTGTTTCAAAATTAATTGTCTCAGCATCTGTGTTTGCTTTTTTGGTGTTTTCCTACCTCTTCCCTAGCTTGTTAACAAAACAATACCAGCGAACTAATCCAGGGCAGCTGCAGAAGTGCTGCATGTTCTGTGGTAAGCAACACATTTTGCCCTTAAGATTTACTTGTAATATGTAAAGCAGAATGAGCATAATCTCATCCTCCAGATATGAAGGTGAGCTGGCTGTGCTGATGATGAGGAAGATTTTGGGTTTTTTTAACCTGCAATTTGAGTAGTTTTGTAGGCAAGTTACTAATGGAAAGTAAATGCAGGATGACAACACGATGCTTTTCATTTGTTTCCTTGACCATAGTCACAGTCTCAAGTGTGACTGTAACAGACATGACATCCATAGGGATGTAGGGTTTTTAAAGCAGTTTCTTACTCAGTGGATATCCCTGTCAGTAATCAATGTCAAGCTTGTTTACTTTTTATTTGAGAGAAAAGTAGATACATATTTTCTGTGGCTTTTTTCTGACCTCATCTGCATTCCATGCGTTGCCTACAAAACTTTAACTGCGTTATGACAGCAGGCTCATTGTGCACAGGTCAGACTGAATGTGCTGCGACTTTCAGATCCAATTTGAATGCCTCAGTGGCGCTTGAGAAGATTCTTACTAGAATGCTAAAGATATTAGATATGGAAAAACAAAACGAGAGAGGGAAAGTAAACCTGGAGTTCCTTAAACTGTATGTACAGTCACTTTTTAGGATACAGTCATACCTTTACCTGTTTCCTTGTCCATCGTCTTACCTGTTTGATGCAGTTGATCTCATTGCCTGCTTTTTCATGCATTGCCCAATTGAAAATGCAGCTTTGCACCAAAGCCCAGGAGATGAAGCTAAAATGTATTTACTGACTGACATTAATTTCCAGTGCTGGCCCGAAGAGCTGTTCTACAAAATGTCAGTGAATCCATCAGAGAAGTGCTCAGAGTTCAGTTCAGGCGATCAGTAGAGCTAGAGGTAAGTGGTATGAAGTGTGTACAAGTACTCTTTGACCAATGCAATGCAATAGTGGTTTTAGTTCACAGGCTAAAACAGTGATTTAAAAACAACCCATGTGGTACTATATCAGAGAGAGGTTTAGTCTAACTTAATGTTAGTCATGTTTGTTTGTTTGGGTTTTTTTAATGTGAATGTGACATCAGCTTTTTTACTTTTAGAATGCCATCATTTTCTAGGACAGACCTTTCTTGGTTTTGCCAGAGGTGGGCAAGCAGTGCCCAGCCTCTACTGCTCACCTCCTTTGGCTGGTGAATTGAAACTGAACTGAAAAGCTTTTACCCTTCAAAATACCTGTTAAAAAGTTTTGTTTCTTCTGCTAGCTGATTGTATACTTAGCACCTTAAACAAAACAAAAGCTTCTGCACAGCCCTGTGCTATTTTATGTTGTAAGTGAGGCCATCAACACTTGCAGGGAAGGTGGTGGAATCCCAAATGCAGGATTTGGCAGATGAAAAAGGCAGGGAAAAAAATCAGGTGTGCAATGGTGAGATATTTTTAAGGCTTCAAATAGGTGTGACTCCTGTCCTTCCCCCACTCACAGGGCTAGGAGTTGCTGCGCTTTTGGGTTTATTTTGAAAGCTTCCTCTGCTTTGATGTTCAAGGAATCATCTTTGAACAATATTTCAGTCTTGTTTCCTAACCTCAAAGTGAGTGTCTGGTTGAGATGAGGTATAAAGGCTCTATTCCCCGCCTCTGTCTCAAACCCTCTGAGAGGAAAAGACCGTAGAGGTAGTTTGGGAGCACCTTTGTTGTATAATCAGATACTTCAACACTGGGGACAAAATGAAATGTTTCAATGGAATTACTGGTGTAGGTGCAGGTTCAGCTGCATTTGCAATTTTTCATGCCTTTTTTGGGTCTATGATCTCATTTTTATTATGAAGTTTACTCAAGTAGCAGTTTGAATTTTGAACATAGCTCGAGTTTTTCCATGCACAGAATCCCTCGGTGCCTCTAACTTCTGCTTGCTGATCTGTGTGGGGAAACAGTGTTTTGACAGCTCCTGCCATAATCGCTGCACTCAGTAATTAAACAGCTCCTGTCTGATGTTTGAGAATATACATCTCTACTACCCAGTCAAGATAGGAGTGTTATGAATTTCTGCCAAACTTCAGCCACAGTGAGCTGCACCTATAAATTATGTTTAGTTCAGGTCCTTTTAGCAATACCTGCCCATAAGCTTTTTAGGTTTTTCTTGTAAATAAGAGATTTTTCTTCTGGTTTGTGAATTATACCTTCAGATTGTGCAAACTGGCATAGTCAAGTAGAAGTCAAAAGTTCATGATGATAGAACTACCCTAATTTTCAATGACCTTAAATGCCTCAATAATATGGAAGTGCTTACCCTCTTAATAGTAACAGCAGTAAGACAAAATCTATTGCTAAATATTTGAAGGTTGATTGGAGCCAACATCTGATATCTTGCTTCTTTATATTTTTGCCTTTAAATTCCTTCCTTTCATGCCCTCTATTGCCTTGTAAAGCTCTCAATAGGGTATTTTGGCCCTAAGGCTGTTCAGAAGCAACTGTTTTTATAAATAATGCAGTTAGTCCAGCTTCATTCTTTGCAAATTCTTTTTTATCAGAAGGAGAAAACATCTCTGTGGAATCAGTTATGCTTATTTTATGCTAGAATGCTGCTATCATATGTGTTCTCTTTCTGATGCCTTAGGTATGGGTTTTGCACTAAAAATAATCGCTAGCAAATGTCTTCACCTCTAACAGTGAAGTACTAACAAAACTGTTATTTTAAATAAAGAGCTGTCTATAGTATCGATATGTTTAATGGTGATATAATGCAAAATTTTAAACAGAATTCATCTATATTGCTAAACTTAATTGATCAGACTTGACTTTTGTTAGTCGAGAGTACCCAGGAACCGTTGCCACATTTGCAAGTTATGGTAAAGCAATGCACTTCTCTAAGTTGCTTTTTTACTGTCTCCCCTATTACAGCTCACAGATGTTGTTCCCTTGCTGTGATGTAATGCACAGTAAATCAGGAGACAGTCTTGTTAAATTTAACTTGGTAATATTGTATGCTTTAAAAATAAAATCCATGGCAACGATGGGTATAACTGCTGCTCACTTAAGTACAAACCAAGTTTAACACTGAAAGAAGAATGAAAACATTTTTTTTCCAAGTTTTTCAGTTGAAACTTTGGTCTCTGCTGCTTTATTATTTCAAACATTCTGAGTTCTTGAAGTGGAAAAAAAAAAAAGGAGGCAGGCTTGAATCCTGCCTAATGAAAAAAACTTTTGTCAATCTTTTCCTAGCAAAAGTCCTTACAGCAAAGTGAGAATAATCTAAAATTTTAAAGTTCTTTCCAGTTGGTCTCAATGTATTGCATCTGCAAAAGAATAAGAGCCTATTGTTTGAATACGAGTAGTTTTTGTCAACTTTCTGTAATGTAAACCTTATGACACTTGGGTAAGATCTGTTATGTAATGTTCCCTTGGCTTAGCTTTGTTGCACTGGAGTGTGAAATAAAATAGTGTTGGCAGTGACTCGCTGCCAGGACCCCTGGTGCCATTAAGTTCATGCCAACAGAAAAAAGCTTTTTGCCAGCCTCATCTGTGCTTGGAAATTTTACCATGCAGTATAATGTATACCTCAGCCACTTCGTTGCTGTATTTAATGTGGGTTTGGGGTTGTCCTTAGCCTATTGGTTTCTATAATCCAAAATTAGTAAACCTCTGCCTTCAAGGTAAGGAGATCAGTTCATTGTCAGGCAGTTAAATACTTCTTTCAAAGATGCCACCTTGTGGGCTTGTGCTGGCTTCATCGCTACTCACTGCTGCTGAGATTCTGGCTGGTACCGTTTAGGTGTGTAAAAACGGTGAGAGAATTGTTGCCTTAGGATCCTAATGTGCGTAGAAGCAGAAGCTTTGTTTCATTTTTAAGACCTGTGAGCCTTTGTAGCCCATCTTCAGGAAGTTAAACGCTCTCTGCAGGCCCTTTACAGGATGCTTAATAAGGTGGTGGGGAGGAAATCAGTTGTTTATGCTTTCTGCCAGATGTTTACACGGCATAATGCAGTGGAGTGTAGACATGGAATAGATTGTAGCAAAGGTGCATCTAATCAAATATTTTAGCAGACAAAAATCAATAGCAATGCTTAGGGAAGATAATAAGGGACAGAATAAGCATACAGTGATGATTTCCCCAAATACTCTTCTAGCCTCTAGTAAATCGAGGCTTGAAAACTTTCTGTACTAGAAGTGCTCTCTTGTGAGGGTAGCTTTGAATGAGATAGGTTGTTTCCTGGAAACAGCAGAGTTGGACTAGCCGTCACACTTTGGAGAAGGGATACCTTAACTTGAGGTGGTATAAGGGTTCTCTGCTCCTACTGAAGGTTTCTGCTTTTGTTGTGGGAATGGCTCCAAAGTGCACGTGGAGTTTTGTGTGCTTCTCCGGCTTTCTGGCCCAAAGTGTTAAGAAAAGAAATTTGTTTCTGAGTTCTTGAAGTGGAATGTGCTTATTTAATACAAGAAATTTGTGCTTGTTTACTTTAATAGGTGGCACTCTAAAATGTGGTGGTTCAGCTAGCTAACTTGTTAGCATCTAACTGTCCTGGCAGTAGAGGTGAAACCTCCAAGAGAGGGTTGGATGGATGGATGGGTTTGTGAACCGCTAGAGCTGTGCCAAGAGGAGCTATTCTCATTCGTGAATCAAGAGTCATGAGCTGTGCTCATCTATCCTAGACAACTTTGCAAACTTCTCTGTGAATTAGCTTGTAGACAGCATCATGCTGGCGTGGCTACATTATTTCTGTCATCTGAATTATGTTGTGGAGAGCTAACTCTAGACAACCCTGCAATATCTCAAGCAGAAATAGCTATTGTTTTGACCTGTAGTGGTTCTAATTACCTACCTCAAAATTACACTTAAAAGTTTGTTTGTTTTGTTGGTTTTTTAAACTTCCACTCTTCTGGAGGTGCTGGCACTCTTCTGCTGCAGTGAAGCACAAAAGAGAAACAGTGTTAGCTGTTAAGATGAAAAAGTTGATGCAAAATTTCAGGGGGGTGTTCAGGGTAGGCTGCTTTCATTGCATCTATGGTGCACTGCAACAGGTCAGAGATGGAGGCAGCCGAGTTAGTTATCAGAAGCTTGCTTTCTTGTGTGAAATACCTAACTCTAGTGCATAACTGTATGCTGGCTATACTAGGCCTCTCTTCCTCAGAATATATTGCTTTAGAAATCACCAGCAAATTGTCACTGAAATTCATAATTCTAATTCCTCTTTTTCTTGCCTTTTAAGTCGTCTCCTTTGCAAGTGATGGGCGACTTTCTTTTGGCATGTCTTACCCATTATAACTGTTGTTTCCATGTGACAAACTGAAGCTGCAGAGATAATTTCATCCTGAGATAAAGGGATAAAATTTCAGATAAGAGGAACTGAAAAGAGCTGTGCATATTATCCATATCAAACAAATTTTAGTTCTATGGGTCTAAATCCATTTAAAATAAAATCTGGATGCTGCATATATTTGTGGACTAAGAAGGAAGGAAGGAATAATGAGCAGCATAGATTATTTTTTTTCATTTCCTTCTGCTACTAAGGTGTTTTCTTCTGGTGAAGATAATCTCTTTGAAATGCATGTTTTTTAGAGGACAGGAAAGAGCTGCTTGCTTTCTCATCTAAACAGCAATTGCCATCACTTTACACTGTTGCAGAAATACCAGTAAGGAACATGTGGGTTCCTACAATTTAAGTAGCACTGTGCTTTTCTGTAAGGCTGATCCTGACGTTGAGGATATCTAAATATCCCTTCACCAGCACAAAGCCTGCAAGGTGCTAGCATCTCTTCATCTAAGAGGTGCACATTTATCAGAACCCTTGGGTCTCTGGTTTAGATTATTTATTTATTTGTGAGGCCATCATGTTGGACATCTCAAAATATTTTAGTGTGACTGCCTTAGGCAAATAAAGCAAACTGGGGGAGTAAACCAAAGAGGAAAAAAATAATGTTGGGGAAACAGGTGTCCTTGATATTGAGAGAGTTTCTCTGAAGGAGAGAAGACACTGCAATATGTTTAAATAAATAAAACCCTTCATCTTGTTTTTACTTAGCTGACAGAGAAATGGCGAATAAGAGTGGAAACATTCACCTAGGTTTATATTTAACTTACAATCTCATTTCTTTTACGATGACTAAGGCTCCTCAGGGTTTTGAAGAAGACTCAAAGTCAGGAGATTAATTCGGAGAGGAAAATTGTAATTGTGGTAACTGTGCTGAAATAAGGAGATAGAAGTGTTCTCTGGAAGAAAGCGTTGTTGAGTGAAAATTATATCCATAAAACACAGGTTAGGTGTATTTTGCTTCTTGCGTATCACATGTGAATGGTATAGGATGTATTTGCTATGAAGTATATGACTGAAATGCAGAAGCTATGCAAG